ACGTGCTTATGAGGTGATTGAAAATACCATGGCTTGGGTCAGGTGCACCTTAGTCCTCAAAGTGACATCTTTACTTTTTAACACTTTAAAGAGGTCTTTTGCAGCAGATTTGCCCAGTGCAATACTTTATTTCTCGACTGCTGCTTCCATGGGTGTTGATTGTGAATCCAAGTAAAATGAAATCCTTGACAACTTCAGTCTTTTCTCATGATGTTTATCTTTTTTTTTTAACTTCCAGTTTTAACTTTCCATGTTTTGGAAAGATGACCTAGGAAAGTTTGTCATGATTTTGCCTATTGGTCCAGTTGTGAGGATCTTTATTTTCTTTATGTTCAGGTGTGATCCATACTGAAGGCTGTAGTCTTTGATCATCATCAGTAAGTGCTTCAAGTGCTCTTCACTTTCAGCAAGCAAGGTAATGTCATCTGCATATTGCAGGTTTTAATGAGTCTTCCTCCAATCCTGATGTCTCGTTTTTCTTCATAATAGTAAGTACTAAATTGCAAATACTCTGTTTTCTCAATTACCTTTCTAATTTGCATCATAGAAGGTTTTGTGCCTCAGTACATCTTTGTAGACTTGAATTTATTGTTTCTTAGAAATTTGGTACTAAATTTAGAGGGGGAAAAATTCCCAAATGCTATTTCAAGCTATTGCATTTTATTCAAAATCAGGGAATCAGAATGGGTGTCCAGTGTGGAATCACAAAAGATTTCAGGAATAATCATAATATAATCCAGATACTATTTGTGGAACATTGGTTGTGTGCTGGCACTCTGGAAGTCCCTTATATATATTATGTATAATCTTCATGAAAACACTCCAAGTAGGCATAGATGAGAAAACTGGGGCTCAGAAAAGTGAAATAATTTGCTTAATTTCACAAAGCTCATAAGCGGTGCAGCCAGATAAGAACCGTATTCTTTTTAATTTCTAGTTCGGTGCTGTTTTGTAAAGAAGACCTAGGAAAGAACATTTAAGGGGGTGAGGAAGGGCTCAAGGCAGATACAACTCTTGCAAGAAAGAGTAAGTGTGTGAGGCAAGAGAACCAAGCATATTGTTGTTAGGTGCCCTCAAGTCAGTTCCGACACATAGCAACCCTGCATACAACAGAACAAAACACTGCACGGTCCTGTGCCATCCTCATAATCGTTGCTGTGTTTGAGCCTAATGTTGCAGCCACTGTCAATCCATCTTATTGAGGGTCTCCCCTCTTTTTCTCTGACCCTCTACCAAGCATGATGTCCTTTTCCAGCAATTGGTCTGTGCTGATGATGTGTCCAAAGTACGTGAGACAAAGTCTCACCATTCTTACTTCTAAGGAGCATTCTGGCAGTTGTCAGTTTGGTACTAGAAATGGGTTAAACAACCCACTCAGTGTCCCAACTTGATGCATATTAATTTCTAGTTTTACAAATTCTGGACCCAATTGGCAAGCGTTTGTATACTATAGTCCACTATCCCTAAAACATAACTTTTCTTTTTCTCACAGCATAATGTTTAAGATTAAGCTCCTTGCATGATGTTGGTAAAAAATCTGAAGAAGCAGTGTAGGTCCTTACTTAGGAAGGAAAAAGATATGTAAATAATTGATCCATAAATTGACATAGAATTGCTTGGTGCTTTCTTTTAACCTTTAGTTTTAATTTGGCTTTAACCTTTAGTTTTAGTCACTGTGCCTTCCAGTGACTCTAATGGCAGGGAAGCTGTAAATGGATTTAAGTTAAGTTCTTGCAAGAAGTGAATATTTGGCACGGAAAAACCATTTCTTTCATATAAAGGGTGGAAAGAGCAAATTAAAGACTACTCTTTAATAACCAAATGTAATTAAAATGTGTTGTCAGATTTATGTTTTAGTGTCTCAGAGGCACTGATATTGCTGTTTCTGAAATGAGATTGCTGATTCAAAAGAAAAAAAAAACACCTCAGTATATAGAAAATTCTCCTAATCTCCTCCTCTCCTTTAATTGTGATGTTATAATTTATAGGGTATGATAGAAATGTATCTCTTGAGGAAATTGTAGACATACTTAAGGTTTTGTTATTTATGAAGCTTCAGGCAGAAGGTTTTTTTCCCCCCTATAATCAAGTATCATTTAGAAAATGACAATGTTAAGTTCCTTAGAGTGTTCTCAGTAGAACAAACCAGCCCCTACCTCTTTCTGCCTTATTTTTCCTGGAGTAGTTTAGTGGTTTAAGTATAGTAATTCAAAAGAGAAGCAGTTTGGTTTATCATTGATATTCTGGTTTCTCCTTTTTGGGGGGCTCGTCACATGGGCAAAGCAGCAGCACTTAGATGTGTAGACATTCCTGTTGAACACGAGAAGTAGAGATGAGGGGCCCCAGAGGATGGGGATTCAGATCAGCGGGCTTCCTTTGCAGAGGCTGAGGCACAGGTGCACAACCCTGAGAGCAAGAGGCTGTGCAGTCCTGGGTTTCATTTCATTCCCCTGCTCCCACCCTCAAGGAATTAATGATTTAATAGTGAGAGGTTGGTGACATGTTGAGGGATGCAGTGACTGGTGTTTTCAGAGCCTTACTCTGAATGCATCTGTATGAAAATTATAGAGGGTGGAATCATGATTCTTCATGTCAACAAAAAGTGGTATCCATTCAGAAAAAAAATAAACACTAGCCTGAAAGTAGCAATAACTGGATTCTGCTATCTTCCTCTGACCTTTAAAAAGGCATGTAACTTCCCTGCATGTCTCTTCTCTGGACCTAGAGTAATATGTGTTTCCTAGAGCTGTTGTATAGATGAGATAACCTGTTTGAAGCATTCTGAACTCCTTCAGGAATCATGTCAAAGCAATAAAATGCGATATGGTTATTACAGTGAAGAGATGACAGTTCTACATATTCTTCCTTAATCTTCTGATCTTTCCAGATGCCAGTGGGTCCTTTCCAGTCCTCTTTCTGTTCTTAGGTTAGAATTGTGGCATGGGGGCGGGGGTTTCTTCCGTGCTTAGGTACAAGAAGAATGCCTTCTCCCCTCTGAAACTGTGTTCCTTGGGAAGGCCTTTGTAGGCATCCCCCTTCAGTAAGGGGTGAGCGTGCCACCCTGCGTGCTGTGCTGGGGAGCACAGATCTACAAACAGAAGAAGGCATCTGTCCTCTGCAGGCTGAGGCGAGGAGCTATGGACTGTGCATCCTTTCCCTGCGTGCCTGCTCAGAACCCTCCGCTCGGTGCTCAGCCTCCTCTGACCAACCTTGATGAGAAAGGAAAGTAAATCTAAAGAGACCAGCGCTTCGTACCAAACGTGTGAAGTCCAGTTTGATTCAGGACTCTTTTTGGAAAGGTCCAACCGTGTGAGCAGGCTTGCCATTGCTTCAGCCAGTCATGTCCTTCAGTGCCACTATTCTCTTCTCCCCACCCAGTGGCAGTGAGGCCACATGCTGCTGCTGTGCCTGTAAGAACGAGACCAGTGGGGGCGGCACGGGCTCACAGGGCAGGAATCCTCCTCCCAGCACCCCTATCACTGTGACAGGACATGGCCTGGCGGTCCAGAGTTCAGATCAGCTCCTACATATTATCTACCAGCGGGTAGAGAAGGCAGTGGGACTGGCTGAGGCTGCTCTGGGTCTTGCCAGGGCCAACAATGAATTGTTAAAACGTATACAGGAGGAAGTTGGTGAGCTAAGACAAGGGAAAGTGTCCACCCCTGATGAGGATGGGGAAGGCGGTGCACAGAGTTCCCCACCTGAAGAGCCTGGGCCTCTCAAGGAGAGCCCCGGGGAGGCCTGCAAGGCTGTGTCTGCCGTGGAAGAGGAGTGTGACAGCGTGGGCAGCGGCGTGCAGGTGGTGATCGAGGAGCTGCGGCAGCTGGGAGCAGCCTCTGCGATGGGGCCTGGGCCTTTGAGCTTCCCAGCCACTCAGAGATGTGCCCTGGCTGCCAGCGAGGGGGCCTTCCTGCTCAATCCTGTGAGTGTGGAGGCAGAGAAGGGACCACGAGTGCTGTTGTTCCTTCATGCTTATCCTGGCCTTCGCTCTTTTTTTTCTATTTCTCTTCTCTATTTTCTCTACATCTTTAAACCTTTATTTTGTTGTCTTTGTGATAAAACAACAGTACCACATTTCTTTTGCCTTTAAGGATAGTCAGCACTCCTATTTTCTTCATAGACCATCAGGTTCTTTGGCAGAGGTTGTTTGTGGTGTGTGTGGAGATAGGGTGCCCTTCCCTCCCTCTCAGTAGCTCTGCATGGCACCTTCTCCACAGCTGTCTCGGCTGCTCCATGGGCTCTGCCTCTCCTGGCAAGAATGCCTGCCGTGCATGGACGGCTTATTCATATTTTATCATGGACCTCTGCTTGCCAAGAGGAGTTCAGTACAGAGAGAGATGGGAATGTAGAGGAGAGGGAGGCAGAGGTGGAGAGAGAGAGAGAAGGAAAAAGTGAGAGGGAAAGGACAGAGATAGTAGCAGGCAGATGCTGGGCAGGAAGGAGGCAGGTAGAAATGAAGGGTTGAGGGAGGAGCAAAAGTAAAAAAGGGAGCATCGAAGAAAGGTGAATCTCTGTGGAGAAGGGAGAATCTATGTGGGAAACAGAAATTGAGGCAAGGTGGCAGGGGAGCTAGAGGAAAGGAAATAAAATGAGGAAAAGAAATGGAAAATTGAGAATTAATAGTAAGAGGAATAACATGTAGGGACAAAGAGCGAAGGAAAGAAGGAAGCAAGCAAGTACATTTTATGAGCAGGAAAAGACATAGAAGTATATTGTTCTATTTCGGTTTTTTTACTGTTCAGGGCCATATGAGCAGGAAAATCCTCGCTAGGCAGAGTAAAAACTGCAGGATATCATACGTGACAGTATGGAAAGGAGATGGAGCAACTATAGAGATCATAGAGATGGGAAAATAACAGATTTGTTGCCACTTGAGAGACAGTGGGAGGTCTGTCAACTCACCTCCATCTTATTTTCTGTGTCTGCGCTTCTTCTTTTCCTCCTCCCCCATGGCAGAGCTCAGACACCCCGTAAAGAGTAAAGGAACAGAAAACACAGGGTAGATGGGAGAGCTGGAACTCCCAGCCCATTTGCTGGATCTGAGAAATGAATATATAAACTCCCCTTGGCCCCCTGCAGTGTAACACTGCAATTGGTCACTGTTCCCCCAAAAGGTATAGCCGTGTGACTAATGGCCACTGCTGCTTGGCCCTGCCTGTGCCTGATCAGGACCATCAGTGGTTGGGGACTGAGGGAGGAGGGACTGGGAAGGTAGGAGGCAGGAGGGTTCCAGGGGAGGCCATGTCCTGGGCTGTGGTTTTTTTCAGGCAGGGAGGCTTCCAAGCCGACAGGATGGAATTAGATTTCACAGCGCAGAAAGCAGCTCACAGGTCTATAAATCTCAGCCTCCTCCCCCGCTTCTTTCTGTGTGTGTGTTTGTGTGTGTGTGTGTTTTCCCCCTACTTTCACTGTTTTGTTTTCTTGGCTGCAGAAATCCTCCCTCCTTTTTTTTCTCTCTCTCCCTTCCTCCCACCTTCCTTTTCCCTGCACTGTATGCCCTTGAGTGAGGGCACAGCAGTCAAGTAGATGTCAGGGCAGTGACTGTCACGTGCTGCCAGGGTAGGATCAAGGTGAAGGCCTGGGACTGGCCCCACAAAGGGGTTGGAGAGTACATGAGTGCAGCCGTCAGTGCCAGCCTCTCTAGAGATTTCTGACTTCATATCTTCCTCCTTCGCTCTCATTTTTCTCTTATTTCTCCTCTTTATTGTTGCTATCGTTTTTTCCTTGCTCCTTGTCTTGCTTAGGTTCCCTTTCTTGCTTTCACTTTTTCTCCCAATCCCTTTTAGACAAAACATTTTCCTAGCTACACTTCTTATACCCAGTCATACTACTACTCACAAATACAGCATCAGAAACATACCCTGTTGTAATCAGCCCTATGGTAATGACCCAACGTGAGAGGCCCCGTACACACGAGAAATTTGCCTGACACTCCCATAGGAGTCCCAGAGAAACAAGCCATTGACCATTAAAGACTGTGCTAGGTTCTCCCCATCTTTCCACTCTGTTCACTGTCCTTGACCAGGTCCCCCTAAGCAGCTGGCTAATAGGCTATTCTCTTTTATGTTCTTAGCTGGTGGATGATTACGTGGCCTCTGAGGGTGCATCACAGCGGGTACTGGTCCCTGCTTATGCCAAGCAGCTCTCACCAGCCACACAACTGGCTATCCAGCGGGTAACCTCAGAGACCGGGCCAGAGAATGGAACCAAGCTGCCACCGTCCCACCCTGAAGATGTGCTCAGTGCTGCTGCTGCGCTGGACAGTGCCTTGGAAGAGTCAGGCCCTGGGGGCTCTGGGGAGCTGAGACACTCTCTAGGTTTTACTGCTTCCCAGTGCAGGACCAGAGGAAGTGGGCAGAAGAATTCCAGGCGCAAGCGGGATCTGGTCCTCTCTGTGAGTGAGCTCAGTGTCTATAAAGTTTGGAGAGATGAGTGAAGAGTGAAGGGTGGGTTGATCTTGAACCTCCCATAGTGAATGAATGACCCTGGTGGTGCAGTGGTTAAGCGTTTGGCTGCTAACCAAAAGGTCGGCAGTTCAAATCCACTAGCTGCTCTTCGGAAACCCTATGGGGGCAGTGATACTGTGTCCTGTAGGGTCACTATGAGTCGGAATCCACTCTGTGGCAAGGGGTTTTACAGTGAATGAATGTTATTTTGAATCCTAATGGAGTGCGAGAAGCAAGAAGGAGACAGATTTCATGCCATAGCCCTAGGAATAGGCAGGCCCACTGCTAGCAGTTGAGGTTTTTTTAGGCTTCTCTAGATTGATATTTTACTTTTAAAGAGGAGGAGGGAATTATATCACATCTCCTAGTGATCTAATAATCCTGATAGGAAGGTCTTTAGGACTGACCACTGAAGGATAGCACCGGAAATTGCCTTCAAATTTAGCCAATGTGCAGAGTAAGCGGCCAGGAGTCCCTTGGATGGAAAAACCAAGTGTCCTGATGTGGTCCTAAACTCCAGAGATGCAGAGGACCATTAGGCACTTAGCTCAGTTATAAAGGTTTAGAGATTCTAGTCATTCCAAGAGCTCTTGGCAGGGAAGGGACTGGCCTGAACAGGTCTCCCTGAAACTTTGGCGTGGCTCAGAGCCCTGGGAACATCCTGCTGAGCTGTGATCCCTCCAGGCTGGCATCTGATCCAAACCTAGAGATCTTCAAGGGCAGTGGTTCTCAACTGGGGTGATTTAGCCCCCCAGAGGATATTTGGAAGCATCTGGAGATGTTTTTGGTTGTTATAATTGCAGCAGGGAGGGGGTGCTACAGGCATCTCGTGGGTAGAGGCCAGGGATGCTACTAAACATTCTATAATGCACAGGACAAATCCCACAACAAAGAATTATCTGGCTCAAGATCTCAGTAGTGCCGAGGTTGATAAACCCTGTTGTAGGGTGACCACAGTCCTTTGGATCATCTCTGTGCCCAAACAATATCTTTCTGATAACCATGGGAATATTTATATACATACATATATTTATGTGTGTGTATATATGTATATACACACACACATATATATGAGGAGCCCTGGTGGCACAGTGGTCAAGCGCTCGGCTTTGAACCGAAAGGGCAGCAGTTCAAACCCACCAACCACTCTGAGGGAGAAAGATGTGGCAGTCTGCTTCCGTAAAGATTTACAGCCTTGGAAACCCTATAGGGCAGTTCTGCTCTGTACTTTAGGGTCTCTGTAAGTTGGAATTGACTCGAGGCAACGGGTTTTTGATATGTATACACACCATATTTTTACGCAAATAATACTGCTTTCTACGTTTGTTTGCCATCCCTGCCCCCCGCCCCCAGGTATTTTCGTAAGTGCTGCTATGCCAATTTTTTTTGCATGTTGCTGTAAAAAAAAATTATCATAGCGCCTTTCCAAAAATACCTTGTGGGGGGAGGGCGCAATTGGCAAATAAACGTAGAAAATACATGTTATTTGCATAAAAATACATACAGATATATATACATTATAATGTTCATATTGACTGTAAATGGATTTCCACACCCTGGATAATGGCTGCTTGAAATAACTTGGAAGTCATGGTTGGAGTGGAGGTCACCTGTCACATTCAACCTGAATCCCATCATAACATATAGCCCATTTCTTCTTCTGTCTTAGTCAAGATTGAAAACAGCTGATTATCATTTATATATTCTCTTAGTCTCTTCCTTCTTTCCACATAACACTCTATAAGCTTAATAGATGGTGCCTTTTCCTTTTTCTTAGAGATCCCATTCTTACTCTCGCTTTCTTTTGATTTGTCTGTCTTCTGAATTTTTTTCCATGTGTATTTCCCTCAAGTTGAAGCACGTGGCATTGGGCCCAGGACCTCAGCAGAGGTTATATAAGTCTCATTTTCCTCTAAGACCTCAATTTTACATTGAGGGATTCTTTTTTCCCCAGGGAAGACACCATTCATAATCAGTATCAATTTGTTTCTAATTTTCATTTTGCATTTTGGTTATATTCAAGGACATCTCCTCATTTACCAAGGACAGAGATGGGTTTAGTTTCTCTGTCATGGATTTCTGGCCCAAGATAGCCACTCCTTTCTTGTTGCCAGTAATAGAAATGGAGGCATATATCTAGAAATGCATTGCAAGGGATTTCCCAAAACTTCATAATGTTTCAATCATGAATACATGTGTGATAATTTCAATTTGCATGAAGTCAGGATTTTCAGAGTCAATCACTTCCATTCCACCCCTGCCTACTGCCTCCAGAGAGAGTAGTAGTGTGAGACCTCGCTTTTTCCTGAACTTCTAATGAGCTCAGTGGAACTGGGAACCTACTGGGGAGGACAGTATGCTTGCTCATCATGCTCTCTATGATGGTACTTGACAAGGATTTAGAGGGCCAGCCAGGGAATTTTGCTGCCCATCACAGAAGGTTTAAAATGTTCTTGTGGGCTCAGCAGCCAGACTGTGAGTTTGGGGGTGGGGAGGAATAGTCACAGATCTTCACTATTCCAATCTTTAGATCTGGGAAGGAATCAGAGAGGCATTTCTCCAATGTGCTGGGGTGGCTGTGGATTGTTGCTAGGGATCCTATGAACCAAAAGGACCAAATGAAAACCCTTTAATTCCTTGGAATGCTGTAGACCAAAGTCCCCCCACCCCCTGGGAAAATGTATTTATTTTTAGCTCACCAAGGAGGTAGGTGAGCTGGCAGCCTTTACAGTCTTAACAGTTAGTATTATCTAGAGTATTATCCCTTTCCACTTCAAGTCTGGTTTGATTTTTATCAACTGATCTCTTCTAAGCCACTTGAGGTGGAAGCTATGCAATGCACCCCCTCTTTTTGCAACTCTCCCAAATTCTTTCTGAAGCATTCATCCATCCCCTTGTGATTCCTTAAGTCTGGACTTCTAAGAGGTATGAAGCAAGTATAATAACAATACAGTGGAGAGCCGAGCCATAAAGAGTTGACAGTACTTTCCTAAACTGATATGGTCAGTCAGCCATACAGGCAGGTTAAATTGGGGATTTCTGAATATGGAGTTGAAGCCCTTACATCAGGAACGTGAACCCATCAAGATGGAACTGTAACTTCCATTGACCGAGAGAACCTGGAATGAAAATATAATCAGAAACAACAAAACTAAATTTACTGGAAGGAATATATAATCCTGCATTAAAACTTAACCAATCACTTGCAGAGTGGTGGAGACAGTAATTCATGCTACAAGCTCATGATGAGTGAACCTTGTGGCACTGTGTGTGGGTATGGGGTTGCTAAGAAAGGTAATACCATCTTGGGGTGCATTTCTAGAAGTGTAGTGTTCCATTCAGGGAGTTAATACTCTCTTTGGCCGGATCTCATTTGATGAGTTAGATTCAGTTCCAGGTGCCACTCTGTAAGAGGGACACTGGCAAAGCAGAGAGCCTCATAGTTTGATGAGGAGTCTGTCTGGAAACTATGTCATAAGGAATGGCTGAAGGACTTGAGGTTCTTTAAACTGGATAAGAGAAGACTTAGGGAATACATGAAAGCTATCTTTGAATATTTCAGGTGCTATTATAGGTAAAACTGGGGTCACGTTTTGGGGCATCTAAAGCAAAATTTTTTTACTATTAGAGATGTTTAGCAGTAGAATAAGCCGCCTCAAAGAGTAGTGAGAACCCATAACTAGAGTTGTACAAGCAAAAGACAGCCTGTTTTGATAATGTGAAAGGGAGGCTGGGTGATAGAATCTTCAAGGTCCTTTCCAAAGCACACTTCTGTTATTTTAGGTTTGTGTTTTTCACACCATGCTGTGTGCACTCCTGGGATGTGTGGTTGTGTGCAAGGGGATATACAAAGCCGTGGATAAACCTGGGACATGTTCCTGGATCATCAATTTTACTAGAAAATTTTGGAAGACATTTTTATATTAAAAGAAATATAGATATATTTTGAAGATAATTTTTAAAATTTACAAGAATAGGGAGGCTTCAAGAAATGTCCACTTGCATTAGTAGCTCTGCTGTGAATATTTGTGCTGTCCTGCCATTAAAGTATGTCCATGGAAATGTTTCAGAACTTCTGCTCCAGTGATCCCATTCTCCAGGAGCAGAATTACTGCCAGGAATCTTGACACAAATTAAATGAAAAGAGAGAAGAAGAGCTCCATTTTAAATACTAATTTGGATAAGTATTTTTGGCTCTCTGGCTAAGAAAATGCATCTACAGGCCCAGACTGTGGGAAGGATTCAGGCAAAGAACTACACACGGATAATGCTTTTTTTACCCTACAGACCTGAGGCGGGTTTTCATAATATCCATTCCTGGCTTAAACTGTTCTTTTTGTTTCCTAGAAAATGGTCCACAATGTGCATAACCACATCACCAATGACAAGAGATTCAATGGGTCTGAAAGGTACTATCCTCTAGAGGGAAAGTAATTCACAAGGAACTTTGCTAAGGGGAGGGAAGTAAAGAGGGACAGTGCAATCCAATAATGAGGCTAGGGCTTTGATTTCACCATTGTCCCTTGTATCCTGTCTTGGGCCATGGAGGAATTTACACTAAGTTGACTAATGGTGGGTATCTCTGTTTGGCTGGCTCTTGAAAGCAGACTGCTGTACTCTTTTCTTTTTATGGCAGTATCAAGTCCTCTTGGAATATTTCAGTAGTAAAGTTCCTTCTGGAAAAGCTCAAGCAGGAGCTGGTGACCAGTCCCCACAATTACACTGATAAGGAGCTGAAAGGTAAGAAAACACCGAGTTAACATCCTTCCCATCCTTTCTGCCCACCCCCCTCCACCATGTTCTTGGTCAGAGAAAAAGCATAATGGAGATGATTTAGTTTTGAAAATAGTGGACTTCAAGGTATTTTTTTTTTTTTTTTTTTTTGGCTATTTTTTTCTCATTTATTGACTGTAGATTTGTTTTTTTTGTCATTTTTTTTTTTTTTTTTTTTTGGCTATTCTTCTCACCTACAATATATATACAGGGCCTGAATGTGAGGCATTATGAAAAGGAAGTCAGAAGCCAGGCCTGCCCTTTTGTCCCTAAATGTTGTGTCCTAGGTTTTCTACTTCCCTTGCTCTTTTATGTGTCTGTAGCTAACCCTGAAGCATTATGAACTAGAAACCTTCTGCTGAAAAAGCACCCATAGTCTGCTATCAGCAGAGTGGCAATGGGTGTAGGTTTAATGGGGGGAATACAGAAGCAGTTGGAGTTGTCTTTTTCCAGTGGGAGATAGGAGAAGAGTTAGTGTTGGAGATGGAGGTGGGAAAAAAGAGTTGAAACAAAGAGGGTGAGTAGATGTTGATGGGAATGCCAAGAAAGCCCATCTTCTAGACAGTGATTCTCAACCTCCCATTCAGTAGCGTTAAGGCAGAAAAAAAGGGCTGAGGACCACTGCTCTAGAGGAGCCTGCTTTTTGCCCCTTTCATCCTCCTTCTCTTCTCCCCCAACCCAGGAGCCTGTGTGGCCTATTTCCTTACTAAGAGGCGTGAGTACCGCAACTCCCTGAACCCCTTTAAAGGCCTGAAGGAGAAAGAGGACAAGAAACTTCGGAGTCGCCGATACCGGGTAGGAGGTTTCTAGGCCTTCCTTTCAAGATGTTAAACTCTAAACCCTAATAAGCCACAGTGGGAGGGGCCAGAGGACATGGCATTTGAGAATAGGATTGAGAGCTAGGATTAGAGACAAATAGAAGAAAAGGACGGTGAGCCAGTTCTAAGATTTGACTTGGGGACGAGGTTCCATCAAGCACAGATTTTACACAGCTTTCCTCCCCATCCAAACATTTTTCCCCAAAACTAATCTATAGTCTGTTTCTCTTCCTAATCTCTGTCCTGGGCTCCTACCATAGCTCTTTGCCAACCGATCCAGTATCATGAGGCATTTTGGACCTGAGGACCAACACCTGTGGAAAGATGTGACAGAAGAGCTAATGTCAGATGAAGAGGACAGTCTTAACGAGCCAGGCGTGTGGGTGGCCCGCCCTCCTCGTTTCCGGGCCCAGCGCCTCACAGAGCTCTGCTATCACCTGGATGCTAACTCTAAGCATGGTACCAAAGCCAACCGTGTGTATGGGCCTCCCTCAGACAGACTGCCTTCTGCTGAGGTCCAGCTCCTCCCACCAGAACTTTACAATCCCAACTTCCAAGAAGAGGAAGATGAGGGAGGTGATGAGAATGGACTTGTCTCCCCCTCTTTTGACCAACCCCACAAAACCTTCTGCCCTGACTTGAACTCATTCATTGAAATCAAGGTGGAAAAGGATGAATGAAATCTGCAGCCAAGAATTACTCTTGACTTCTGCCACACCCCATGTCCCAGAAATGGGTGGCCATGGGGCTTCTTAGAATAATGAGATGCCCTCTGCAGTCTGAGAAAGTAAATTTACCTGTCTTCTTAACATGGTCCCCACTGGAAGTGGAAGCTGGCAGCTCTGACAGGATAAAAGAACTTCATATAGAAAGGGGGAAAGCCCCCTATTGTGAATGGCAAGCCAGAAGATGCTTATTCCTAAGCATAAACAGTGCCTGGGAGGAGCCTGGAATGAGGAAAGGAGGAGGATGGGTCTAAGAAGCATGAGGCCTTCTTGATATATGCCCCGGTTTCTGAGTTTCTTTTTCAGGTTCACCCTCAGCTCTGGGAAGCAGCCCTGGCTATACCTTCTGTTTCCCCATGATTGCGGGTCTTGCTCTGTAGTGGAGGAACAGGACCAGCCTAGGGTAATGCTGCCATCTGGTGGGCAGTTTCAGTCATGGGCCAGATTCTTTTGAGCAGCAGAAAGAACATGGGCTCCATTCTTACTTGGGAATTGGGATCTAGGTATAACAGTTACTGTTTACTGAATTATACAAGGCAAATCTTATTATTCCTATCTTATAGATGAGGAAATTAAGGCTTAGAGTTTTCATGTCTCACCAGCAGCTGCTTTCCCATTATGTGATTAAGCAATATACACAGCTTTATAGCTATTTCTTACTCCTATCAAGCCAAACTGTATTTTGAAGGGGTGTGTGTGTGTGTGTGTGTGTGTGTGTGTCAGAGAGAGACAGAAGCACAAAATTTGTGTATCTTGAATGGATAAGAGAAGTAAAAATGACTTTCTATTCATTCATTCAACATATAGATTGCTTACGGTGTGAAGCATTGTGCTAGGTGCTACTGATTCATTGTTGATCAGATGGCGATCACAGATTTTATTGTCTAATCAGGAAGCTAGGCATTAAATAGGCAATAAAATGAATTGTGACAAGGGTAATAATAGGGGAGTGCAGGGTGCCAGGGAAGTACACAGAAGGGCTATCTAACCTACTCCTGTGGTCAGGAAAGGCTTCTCAGAAGGAGTCATGTTTAAACTGATACCTGAAAGATGAGGATGAGTTAGCTAGGGGAAGGGAAGGGGAGGCCAAGAGAGTTCCAGACATAGGGAACAGCTGGTGCACAGCCCAGAGGCAAGAGCAAGCACAGAAAAAGTCCAATACTGCTGGACAGTTTGGGGAGAGGTGATGTAGAAAGACCTTGTAGACCATCTTAAAGAGTATAAACTTTAGCTGAAGGGCAGTGAGAAATCATTGAAAGATTTTAAGTAGGGAAATAAGATGATCAGTTTTGTGTTTTAGAAGAACCACTTGACCTCAGGGTGTAAGAATGGATTGGAGGGAGCAAGCCTCAGCAGGGAGACTTTTATAGTGGTTCAGGAGAGAAAAGATGGTGGCCTGACTGACGTATGTAGTGGTGATGGGGAGAGGACAGGTTTGAAAGATGTTTAGGAAGCAAAATTGATGTGACTTGGTGACTGCTTAGATTTGAGCATTAAGGGAAAGGGAGGACACAGGTTGGTGCTCAGGTTTCTGGCTTAAGGAGCTAAGTGGTTAATGGTGCCATTTACTCTGGGAATGCAGGAAGAGGAGCCAGTTTCGGGGAGGCAGGGAAGATGAGCTCAGCTTAGGGCATGGGGTACCTCTGAGACAACCAAGTGGAGATGCTGGTAGTCAGTTGAGTTTCTAAGTCCAAAAGTCTGGGCTAGAGATAGGGATTTGGGTGTTATCCATACATAGATGGTAACTGAAGTCCTAGAGATGGAGAAGAGGGCCTGTGGAGCCCCAGGTCAGTTCAGACAGCGAACAGGGGCCCCAAGGTTGTGAGTATATTGGAGTACTACTTATTAGTGCACCCCTCTTCCCCTTCACTTGTCCCTGCTTTCTGTTATTTCCCAAAAACACAAGTTGCTGATCTCAACTGTGCCCATTGCTGACCCCACCAACTCCTGGATGGGCCTCCTTTAATGCCTTCTCAGCTATTCATAGAATTTACTCTCCCATCCTTACCTCCAAAGGATCAAAACTTCCAAATATCAGAGGCTGTGTAGAAATCTTAAAAAAAAAACCAAACCCATTACCATCGAGTCAATTCCGACTCATAGTCATCTCTATAGGACTGAGCAGAACTGCCCCATAGTTTCTAAGGAGCGCCTGGTGGATTCAAACTGCTGACCTTTTGGTCAGCAGCTGTGCCACTTAACCACTACGCCACATTTTGGATGTAAGTAATTGGGAGGAAGAATCTAGCCCCTCCCCTTTCCCTCAAAACACTTGGAGACGGGAAAGGAGGGACAGCTGTAGGGTTAATTCTGAAGACGTTGCTCACTGCTCTTTGTGGAGCCAACCTGCTAGCTCCTCTGCATTCCTAATGCTTTCAGTTCTCCCTGCTTCCAGTCTGACAGTAAACTCCCCTCAGGATCAGACAAAAGCTGAAGGCTTGACTAGGGAAATGGAGAGGCTGCTTCTCAGGAGACAATGCAGCTAGGACAAATAAGCCAAACAGTTTGTGCCAAATTAATTTCCCAAAAGATATCAGCCTCCTTTCCTTCCTCATTCCCTAAGGATACACTAAGATTATAAAAAGCGCCTAAATGTTGACATGAAAAAAATATGCATGATTTGTTTGCATATAATTTTCATATCCATTTACTATGAGGAGTTGTTTTCCTTCTTGTTCTACTTCCTTGTCCCTGATGTGTTAGTCTGGGCAAAATAAGTTGATTGGTATTTAATCAGGTATGTTCAGCCTCAGCCGCGGTTATTCTTGATCCTTCTAGTAAGGCAAATATCAGCCTCTTTTCCTTTTCCACTTCTCCTGGGTGTCAGTTACTCTCTATCATCAGTCTCCTGTGGGCCAACCAAGGGAGAAGTATTTGCTAGCTTTAAAACCAGGCCTATCCCTGTCCAAACAAAAAAAAACAAAGCCATTGCGGTGGAGTGGATTCCAACGCATAGTGACCCTATAGGACAGAGTAGACCTGCCCCATAGGAGTGACTGGTGGATTCGAACTGCCCACCTTTTTTATTAGCAGCCATAGCTCTTAACCACTGCGCCACCATGGCTCCTCTATCCCTGTAAAACAACAACAAAAAACCACCGTTGCCATCGAGTCTATTAGGACTCATAGCGACCCTACAGGATAGAGTAGAACTGCCCCATAGAGTTTCCAAGGAGCGGCTGGTGGGTTAGAACCTAAGAAGCTTTTGGTTAGCAGCCGAGCTCTCAATCACTGTGCCACCAGGGCTCCTTCTATCCTTGTAGTCACCTGAAATACTTGCTAAAAATCTCACTTCCCAGCACCAGGGAGTGTCCGTCTATTCCTGTCTTTCCCCCAGAAGGTAAGCGATTAGTGCCAAACCTTTTCCTTCCTCCTTTTTCCTGTTTTTTTAAGATACATACTAAATCGCACGCGCTCTCAACACTGTCATGGGAGCTTTGGGTTCAGAAAGTGGTGTCTTTTTATTGCAGTCTATCTGCTTGTCTCTCCTTCTTTCTGGATTTACAAAAGTTTTTCTTTAGTCTATCCATCCTTCGATCTCTGCACCACCCACGCTCTCGCTCTCCCTTTCTTTCGCTACCTGTGTTCCACCACCTCTCTATCTGGGCTTCCTTGCTTTTCAGGACTATGTTCAGGTCCGCGTCTCTGAACCTCTTTATGTATATACGTTTCTTTTTTCTCCCTGTCTTCCTCTTTACGTTTCTCTCCTTGCCTCACCACTTTTATGTCAGTCTCTCTCCATCTCGCCCATAGTCCTCGCACTAGAAACAAAGTCACGGTGTTTCCGCAGAACATGCCATCAGTTGCCGACTCCGGCACCACAACATTCCATCGTGTCCCTCCGCGCATTCCCACTACAAAGAGTCCCCTTCCCCGAGAGAGAGAGAGACACACACACACTCTCTTTCCTGTTCCAGTACTTGAGTGATGTAGTAGTAGCCTCCCAAACTGCCCCTCGTCTCTTCTCGCCTCTGGTCGTCAGGACTCCACCTCCAAGACAGCAGCAGCGCCACCCCCCAAATTCCCAGTACCAGAGATCCCTGCGCAGACACCCCCCGCCCCCGCCCCGCCCTGGCCGGAAAGTAGATCCGGCCAGGCAGACAAAAGTTTTGGGAGAAAAGTTCAGTCGGTGCCGAGTGTGAGAGCGAGGGGGGACGGGGGCTGGGACTAGGAGAGTGGGGCGGCCCGGCGAGTCGACGCGTGAACAGATAGACTGGCGGTCGGGACAGCCGCGGCCGTAGGCCTTTCTAGCCCCGCTAAACCCCTGATGCGCGGGAGGACGCAGCCCCTCTCGCTGGGGGATGCTGCAGGATTCCTGGCGCCGGGCATCCTGGCCGCCCGCTAAGCCCCTGTGCCCGCCCTGTGTCCCTGGGGAGCCAGAGTCCGGCAGCAGGGGAAGAGAAGCGACCACCGAGACGCTGCAGGGTGCCGGGCGGGGAGGGGGCTGGAGGCCCCAGACCCGAGGTCATGGAGCGGTTAGGGGAGAAAGCCAGTCGCCTGCTGGAGAAGTTAAGACTCTCGGACTCCGGCAGCGCCAAGTTCGGCCGCAGAAAGGGTGAATCTAGCCGGTCTGGGTCCGATGGGACCCGCGGGCCAAGTAAGGGGCGACAGAGTGGGTTGGGAGGACCTAGGAAATCCGGATCCCGAGGAGCTACTGGGGGACCTGGAGATGAGCCGTTGGAGCCGACCCGAGAGCAAGGCCCCCTGGACGCTGAGCGGAACCCGCGCGGCTCCTTTGAGGCGCAGCGCTACGAAGGCGCCTTTCCCGGGGGGCCGCCCCCTACCCGGGCCTTGACTCTACCTCAGTCATTGATCCCCGACTTTCGGCTGGAGACCACGGCCCCAGCCTTGAGCCCCCGCTCCAGCTTCGCCAGTAGCTCGGCCAGCGATGCGAGCAAGCCGTCCAGTCCTCGGGGCAGCCTGCTGCTGGACGGGGCGGGGGCTGGCGGAGCCGGAGGTAGCCGGCCCTGCAGCAATCGTACCAGCGGCATCAGCATGGGCTACGACCAGCGCCACGGGAGCCCTCTGCCCGTCGGGTCGTGCCTGTTTGGCCCGCCCCTGGCCGGGGCACCAGCAGGCTATTCCTCCGGAGGGGTCCCCTCCGCCTACCCGGAGCTGCATGCCGCCTTGGACCTACTGTGCGCTCACCGGTCCGCAGGGTTCGGCTGCCAGGAAAGCCGCCACTCGTATCCCCCAGCACTGGGCAGCCCCGGAGCTCTAGCTGGGGCTGGCGTGGGCGCGCCGGGGCCCTTGGAGAGACGCGGGGTGCAACCTGGACGACACTCGGTGACCGGCTACGGAGACTGCGCCGCAGGCGCCCGCTACCAAGATGAGCTAACAGCGTTGCTGCGCCTGGCGGTGGGCACGGGTGGGCGAGAAGCCGGCACCCGAGGGGAACCCTCGGGGATTGAGCCGTCGGGTTCCGAGGAGCCGCCGGGTCCGTTTGCTCCGGAGGCCGCCCGGGCGCGGATGCGGGAGCAGGAGGCCAGGGAGGACTACTTCGGTGAGTGAGAGTGAAGAGAAATGATTAGGGACGGGAAGGACCCTTCTCCGCATTCGGTTCCCCACTGCCCCGACTGCCGAAATTGCCAGCGCCCCGGGGTCGAAGGCGGAGACAGGGAGCTAGAAAAGAGGCAAGAAGGCGCAGAGCGCTTTCTCGAACTTCCCACGGGGTTTCAAATGAACCAGGGCTCCTCGTTCCTGCTAAACGCAAACCCCCTGATTATCTCGTGAGTCCTGGTTTCTCAAGCAGTAGAGCCTCTTGTTTTCGCGGTAGGAGGCCTTGTAGGGAGGGGACCCAGTAGGGCAGTGAGAGCATCCCCATTTTGCTCCCCACTTCACGGTGGTGCTCCTTCAGGCTCCTGCGTGCGGCGCCCCCACCCGGCCCCGGCTCCACCCGCAGGAATTCGGGGAATGCGCGGGGCGGGCGGGCCGTGTGCTTGCTGGCTCCTGCCCGGGCACTCCAGGTGCCCCCGGCGGGGCGGGCTCTGGCGGCTTTGCGAGACGCGGGGCTGGGGGCGGGGGACTTTCTCGCACACGCGGAGTCGTGGTCACTGTCGGCGAAATGGAGCTTGGGCGGGAGGATGGTGCGCCCTGGGGCGAGAAGTGGGGACCCAAATACTGCCCCGCCCCCGTTCTGATAGCTCGGTGCGTGCGTGGGCTTTTAAGGCAAGGGGACCGGGTAGTGCCAGCTTTTATTTTAGTTACTCTCCAGAAGTCAGGGCAGAAGCCATGACCGCTGGGATGCTATTACCCCTGACTAACGACCCTCTGTAACTGCCAGAAATAACCTGGCCTTGAGTTTTGGCTATAACCTGCTCAGAACTCAGGCTACAAGTCGCCCCTAACTTCCTGCTGCTGTTAAGGAAATCTGGTCTCTGTCCTCCCCCACTGGGTTACTTTCAACAAGTATTGATTATATGTCTTAGCTATGGGGGATATGGAGCTCTGGTATCTCAGTGGTTAAGAACGCGGTTGCTAACCAAAACGTCGGCATTTGGAATCCGCTGGCTGCTCCTTGTTCTATAGGGTCCGCTTTGAGTCTGAATTGACTTGACGGCAGTGGGCTTGGATTGGGGATATTGGGGTCTTGAATGATCTTTTGATCAAAACACACAGGCACCAGTGCACTATATAAAGAAATGCTAATCTGATTATGGTACGAAGTACCTAAGGAGGTGGAAAGCTCACCCCCAGGGCTGTGGTCTCTTAGTTTTCCAAACAATCCCTTCCCCTTTTTTCTCACCACCCG